CCTTGGAAAGGCATGTATGTGGTGCTCGTTTCAAATGGGTCAAATGCTTTACTGAGGGAGTTTCTTTTCTATATAAGGCCACACAAATTTAATTTCTTGGTTAACGGATTCGCCGCTTCATTTTTTTCTGATTTGCAAATAAAAATAAAAATTCAGAATCAACTGCAAAATGCTCATCTTTTGCCCTGAACAGTTGATAACAGTCCTTTCCATCCTAGTTGTTACAGTTGTTCCATCTTTCAATGCAATGGTATCAATAAAATCAAATCAAAATCAAAATTCATTGTTTAAATTTTGAACCAGCCTGGTGTGTTGACTTTATGGCTCCTATCGTACCATTTTGGGCCATGATAGGATGCCTAGGGCTGTTTTTATTTTTATTTATTTTTCGCCCGCCCGCTCCATTATTTTTCTAGAAAAATCCGTTAACCAAGAAATTAAATTGGTGTGGCCTAAGTTAGTATGTATAACCAAGGAGGTTCTAGGGGACCTCCTTGGTATCATCGTTGAACACAAGAAGTAAGGGGAGCAACTGCACGTTGGGTCAGTTTTATGTCACAATTCTATTCCATATTAATCCCTGTCTGGCCTAGTGGACTCTTGTATGTATCCCAACAACCATGTTAGTCTTTCTGGCACCATATACAGGCATCATAATGATCTCAGGTGACAGCCCTGTTTACAAGTGTACAGCAAAAAATTTATCTGAAGGAGGATGTGTATCAAACTGGTTCAACTTCACATCAATTTGCGCTGTTTGTTCAGCCCTGGTTTGGCCATAATGGAGACAGGAAGTTGTGGGACGGACAGCTTCCTGTGATAAAGCCACTATACAATCCAACAGCTTCCTACAAGTGGGAGGCCGCTTCCTCTGATGTACTTTCTCTTTTTATGAGGTACTCACTACTGTTCTTCTTCCCACAAATCAAAGTAACTGACAACAACTTCATAATCTACATTACACAGTTTTCTCGTGAGAATCTGACGTCCTTTGGTCCACTTTCGAGGACCCAAAGTGTTACCAAATCATTTAGTGGATGATGTCCCAGATATTTGCTACATGGTGACAATCATAACTTTCCATAAATTCCTCTTTTTGTTACAATACAATATTGTTTTTGCTACAAATTCCTGATTAAATGATGCTTTAGTTGTCCGTCAGCTATTCCATGTGCCAATCTGATATTTCACAATAATGCCTATTTAATAAGCCCAGAGACTTTGAGACAGAAAATGACAGGCCAATCGATATCCTGGATTACATGAATTGATAATTGGAAGTCTGAGACTGTGTATTTACATTGGATTGAAGCAAAATACTTATGTTATGGCACACATTATAATGCCAGGATGCAGGAAGCCTTTATACTCAGAAGCGACAGGAAATCCTGCAGCTCTTCCAGAGAAAAGTTTAGACAGCTGAAAGAAATCACCAAGGCAAACTCCTTCAGAAGTTGAAATTTAACTGAAAAGTGTTGGCAGGCTACAGCATTTCACAAAGGACCCCGTCGCAACCTTTGCCGGGAAAAGAGCAACAGCAGCATGATTGCAGCCCTGTGTTTCAGCTTGTTCTCCCTTCAGGGAAAGCAAAAGGTCATACTTTGTGTACACTTACCCTTTGTGATCTACAAATGTACTAGAGATCAAACTGGTCTCAAGTTGCACATAAATCAGTCACATGTCATGCTGGACTTTCCATTTTCAAAGTATTCTTGTGAATGGACAATTGAGTACATGGAAAGTAAATTAAGCATTGTGAAATTAGAACAATAGTCATCAATTGAACATCAAATTGACAAGTATACACACAGACCAGGTTCAAGTACAAAGTTTTAACTGCAAGCAGCTGCCTCATAATTTTGTACATCACACTTCAAAGACAGTCCACGTCAAAGGGAAGAATAAATACACACCTCAATCAAGTGCAGACTGGTTCAGAGCAAAAACAACAGAGTTTAGCAACAGAAGGAGGCAAGCCTGGGAGATTATTTTTCTGGGACGGTGGTCAAACAGATGTAGCAACAGCTGGTGTGGCGGACCAGGAAGTGGCCAAAATCACCAGATTGTAAAGTAATAATGACCACAGATGTGAAAACTGTGGCT